GTGTTTTTTTCCGGGACGATAAACCTATACATACATACATACATCTGCCTCACGCTCCGCGCCCGCGTAGTTCCTCACGCTCCGCGCTCGCGTAGTTCTAACGATTCTTCCGCGTAACCCTCAATGTTCTTCCGCTCCGTGCTCCACTGCAGGGCGGCTTCTGATATTCTTCCGCCCTGATCTCCCCTCTATAAGAACCCCCTTCATACAACCTTTCCTTCTGATCTCTTTTCTCTTTCTTTCCTTAATCAATTCATAATGTGTATTTAGAATAGTGCTAGATCATTAATCGATGTACATTTGTTACATTACGAATTGATTCATCTGTGTCGGCCTGAGTGCCCTAGGTTTACAATTGCACCCAGGTGCCCAAGTTAAGAATAAGTTACCAAGTCCCCACAAAGCTGTGTTGTTGTGATAACATCCGCAAATTCTAAAGTTCTACAAAGCCACACCACTGTGATAGTGCTGCAAAAAAGTCTGAGTGCTTAAAAGCTCCACAACTGTATATCTGTGAAGAGGTCAGAGTATCTATGAAATATTTCCTCTGAAGAATAAGAACTGAACCTCCTGGTCTTCAAGTTATCAGAATCAAAAACCATGGCCTTGTATGAAAATGAGATGAATTACAAACACCTCTTCATAAGTGAGAATTGAAGCCTCACTGAAGATAATGCTGAACTTCATAACTTCCTTCAGCAGCAATTCTTGCAGATAGCAGAGCTTCAATGACAATTGAATCTGAGCATGAATATATCAGAAACTGACCCCGGTGGCCGAATGGGTAATGCGGCCACCCGGTAGCGCCTTGGCGTGGGGACCCAAGGCGTATGGGTTCGAAACCCACAAGGGGACAACATTACATCCGGAGCCAACTTCTCAGCTCCTAAAATAAAGGGATGTGAACTTGCCAAGTAGATACCTTCGGGCGGACCTACTACCTGATTTAGCTTATTGTTTCTGGGCTGGAAACCTGTATCGTGAATATCAATCCTGTCTTTCATTAATTTTCCTATGTTTCTGTTATATTTTTGACATCATTTAACACTAAGCATTCCTTCTGTATAACCAACTCTTGCCTGTATTTAACATTACACAAGGACTCGTCATAAGCACTGCTTGCATACGAGTATAACGGAAGAATAATAATAATAATAATAATAATAATAATAATAATAATATCAGAAACTGCGCAAGCGCCAATGCCATCTGTGTATGAAAGGAAAGAACGCCTCCCCCTTCTTGATAAGTTCGCAGAAAAGCTCTCAATCTATCTAGTCTGAAAATGAAAGATAAAAGACAAGCTTGAAGAGAATGAGTCTGTGATGGACTCTCTGCTCTTACAAGCCTGCTATGTTCATAGTCAGCAAGAAGGAGATGCTTTAGCGAAGTTTCAACCCTGGATTGAATCATGTACGCATGAAATGTGTACCTCTGAAGAAGTCTTCCATCAATTAAATGTTCTATTCTTGAATCTTACACTGCAAGCACATGCAATGCAGTGGCTGAACAGAAATTGTCAAAGGAATACCCTTTTAATTAACTATCTGCCTGATTTCAATAGCAAGATTTGTGAACCAGAAGGACAGAACTGAGATGATACTGTCAAGATCAACTTTCTGAACCAGTATATTAACTTTGAACTGCTCAAGCTCTGCACCTCACACCTCATGCACATGCATTACCACGACTACTGCACCCACTTACGCCAACTCGACAACAACCTCGCACGCTTCAATGCTGTCCAAGGAAGATGTAACAATCATAGACAGAACTTCATGCCTACAATCACATCAATAGCCTTCACAGACACCATGAATTGAACCTCTCATGTGAATGCAGGACAATCAAGAGTATCTGATTTCTTCAGATGAGAAGTTACTGATCAAATCATCTGAGGAGTTTTCATTCATTGCAACAGGCCGGGGCACTTTGCAAGTCAATGCATCAACCCCGTGGTCTCAGCTTCTACACCACATGTGAATGCAACTATATCTATGGATAAACAGAAACAGGGAAAAGAAGAGCTCTCACTTTAAAACATGAATGAGAGCTCAAAAAGCAAGAAGCTAGCTGAAGATTTGAGCAGAAAATGCAAGTAAACACAATCATAATCTTTGCCATTGTAAACAACTTAGTCAACATATGAGCAATGATAGACAGTGGTTTCCTTCATTACACTTTTATAAATACTCAACTAATTGAAAAGTATAAACTTCAGTATATTCTCTTCTCTGAACTGTGTAAGCTTAGTGAATTTAACAGCCTCAAAGGATTCGCCTTCTACAATATGATAAGATTTAATGTTGATGTAGAGGGGTATGAGAAAAAGAATGTTTATATATATGAATTACAGAACCTTGAATACGATCTAATACTCAGTCTGTCATGATTTACAAAATTTGAAACCTTATTGAACGCATGCAATCAATGCTTTATTTTCCCAGAAGGTGACTGTGTTTATGAGAAGGATGTCAATAAAACCACTGATCTTACTCAAATATCAGCAGAGGCATTCAAGTTATTAACTCATCAAACATGCAAGAAGAAGGACGTTCAAGTATTTGCTGCTAGCATGGCAGATATCAAGAAAATGTTAGAAAAGTTAGAATTCAAAAACTTCAAGAAACTTCATAAGAAACTCTTTGAATCATATAAGAACTTCACAGATGTGTTTGATGAGAAAGCAGCTGAAAATCTCCCCTCTCACTAAGAACGCGGTATAGATCATACAATTGAACTCATCAAGAATAATAAAAATTCACAACTACTCTGAAGTTCTCTCTACAGCATATTGTGTGATAAGCTTCTCATTTTATAAAAAACACTCAATGAACTATTGGATAAAGACTTTATCTGCATTAGCAATTCATCTGCTGCAGCATCTATATTATTTGTAAAGAAATCAGAAGAAGGCTTATAATTCTGTGTTGATTACTGAGAATTTAACAAGATTACATGAAAGGATTGATATCCTCCCCCCCTCATTAATGAAACATTCAAATGAATAGAAAAAGCGAAATGGTTCATGAAACTTGATATCTCCGCGGCCTTCTACAAGATAAGGATCAATGCGAGTGATGGTTAACTGCCTTTTGTATGCGTTATGAGTTATATGAATGAACAGTGACCCCTTTTGGGATTAGCAAACACTTCGAGTACATTTCAGAAATATATCAACTGGGCTCTATGAGACTTGCTCAATGAGATAGCTTCAGTGTACATGAACATATCCTGATCTTTACTGATGG